TTGTGAAGACATTTATAAACGCGTTTTACTTAATTAATTAATTAAGAGTTGTATATTAAAGTATTACAAACGCATGCGAACCTTTTAAGGATAATATATTTGTGTAAATAAAAGTGATAGGTGTGGGGTTATAATAAAATGTAGTGATAGCAGGCGGGTTATTTTAACAGCAAATAACTTAAGTACTATTAGCAACATTGTGAAAGTGAGAAATATAGTTGAAGGAGGCCTCCATTAGTATCCCCACCGAGTTTCATAAAAAAATTCAGTATATTTTGCACGGAATAGCAATTGGTTCCGTAATGGAAATCACAGCCTGAATCACTTTTTTTATCAATATTTAATAATAATATTTAATTAAAAAAAATTAATTACAATGCCCTGGCAACCCTGGCAGACGGACGTGGAAATTTGTGCAATTTTTGTCCTGCTTTAAAATATTAACAAAATACTTGCTGAACGTATTTTTGTCAACGGAAATAGTTGCAAATAAACCGCATTTACTTTTCTAATGTATTTTCAATCAATTACGACTGATTAAATTGCACTACAAGCAAAACTTAAATCAAGTGGTCAACTTAACCTTTTTGTCTGCTACATGGCGCCTGTGACGTGTAATGGTTGCAATAATGTCATTAAGGAAAACATGTCCAGTATCTTGTGTTCTTTATGTAATAGTTGGCACCATCAGAAATGTTCGGGAATCAATTCAAAGGACTTTAAAAAGATTGCAGCTGATATCAGGAAAAATAAGTTCAAATGGTGCTGCGATAAGTGTAAAAGTGAGGCTAGCATAATTGTGTCTGATACCTCCAGTTTCGACCCCATTACCTCAAAACTTGAGAGTGTATTCAATAAGTATTTTACACCATTCAAAAACAATATCGAAAAGTCACTGAGCAACATTAAGTCTGAGCTGGAGAGCATCTCTAAACAAAACCAGATGATGTCCAAGCAATGCGCCTCACTGGACAAACGAATAAGTGATGTGGAGGATAAGTTGAAAGGCATGAATGGTGGTATCGTGGACGCCGACAATATTATTGCTGAGGTATCTGAAAGAAAAACTCGTGAAAAAAATGTGATTGCCTATAATGTTCCTGAGTCGCTGAAGCAAGTAGGTACGGAGCGATTGAATGATGATCGCGTACGTATTGCTGAAATACTATCACCAGAGAATTCTGATGTTGTGCCTGATATGAGACTACGTAGAGTTGGTCGCCCAGTTGACGGAAAGACTCGCCCTCTGTTGATCGTTACACCCTCGATTGCCGACGCTAGGAGGTTACTCAAAATCTCTCCAGCGACCAACAATGGCGGCATACATTTTAAACAAGATTTGACTCGCTGCCAACAAAACCATCTAAAAAATTTACGAAATCAGTTAGAGGTACTCAAAAACAACGGCGAAACTAACAAGACAATCAAGTATGTCAATGGCGTTCCAAGAATTGTAAACGTGTCGGGATTTCGGAGCAACAAGGAGAAAAATAAACCACAAACAAGACCTAATAGTATACTATCAGAATGTAAGAGGACTAAGAACTAAGCTTAAAGACTTTTTATCAGCATCTGCGGTAAGTCATTGTGATGTATTGTGTGTCTCGGAGTCTTGGTTACATTCATCCATCATGGATGGCGAAATCGTAGACAGTTCGTATATAATTTACAGAAATGATAGAGATCCAACGACCAGTACATTTGAACGCGGGGGTGGGGTATTCATTGCAGTCAAGCGTAGCATCTCGGCAGAGCTAATAGTAATAAATGAAAATCTCCTTGAGCAAATCTTCATTAAAATCGTTGGCCATGGGTGTGATATCATTATTGGATGCATATACATTCCACCACAATCACGCCCTGAAGTATACCTCAGACATATTTCTACCATATCCTTCATTAGAGAAAAATATCCAAACAGTAGACTGATAATAACCGGCGATTACAATCTTTACAGCAGTACGCCACAAGTAGAGTGTGAAACATTGTTAAACCAGCAATTCCTGCTTGCTGGATGCCTCCAACTCAACAAGATAACTAATGCACGTGGTCGTATATTAGATTTATGCTTCAGCGATTCAGATCTCTCAATTAACAAATCTTGTTCCATTGTTCAGGAGGACGCATACCATCCTGCTTTAGTGGTGGTACACAAGTTCGAGGCGAATCTGAAGTGGAAAAACGTTCCTACTTATGCTTTCAGAAAGGCCGACTATGTAGCGCTGAATAACTTTTTTCTAAGAATAAACTGGATAGATTTATACAAACTTAATAATATTGACGAAAAACTTAACTGGTTCTATGATGTGGTAAGCCAAGGCATCACTCAGTTTGTTCCTTTATATTGCAGGAAAAACACTGAATATCCGTGTTGGTTTTCAAAAGAATTGATAAATAAAACAAAACAAAGGAAAATCGCTCACCAAACCTACAAAAAAGCAAAAACCCAAACGAACTATGCCGTATTTAGTACACTGAGATCCGAATGTAAAAAATTGAGCTCATCATGCTACGAGAGTTACTTGACCAAAGTAGAATTTCATCTGGAAAGTAATCCTAATGGTTTTTGGAGCTTTGTGAAAAACAAACGACGCAACGATGCTGATATTCCGTCAACAATGATTTGGGACGAACACACCGCGAGTAATGGCGCCAATGTAAGCAATTTGTTTGCGTCATTCTTCAAAAGCATATACAGCGAACCTGCTGCACCCGCAGTGTACAATATGGAAAGTATATCTTACGATGTTAACATCTCAGAATTTGAAGTGCGATTTGACGACGTATACCGCCAATTGACACTTTTGAATATCAACAAAGGCGCTGGGCCTGATCGTATACCTAACATTTTCCTTAGAAACTGCGTTATTGGTCTATGTGAACCAATCACACACATCTTCAGCAAATCGGTTGAAACAGGTCACTTTCCCACAATGTGGAAGTTGTCATATATAAACCCCATACATAAATCGGGCGAAAGGGCACACGTAAACAACTATAGGCCAATATGCATCCAATCGTCACTTGCTAAACTGCTGGAGAAGATCGTTCTACCACAAATAACCTTTCCATTTAAACACATTATAACTTCGAGGCAGCATGGATTCTTCGGTGGGAGATCTACGTCCACGAATCTCTACCCCTACATCAACTACATTCTCAATGCACTTAACCACGGCCAAGACGTACACTCATTATACACCGACTTCAGCAAGGCGTTTGACATGGTGGATCACGAAATTCTCTTAAGTAAATTAAAAAGTTATGGTGTCCGGTCAAAAGCCTTATACTGGTTCCGCTCATATCTATCGGGTAGGCGAATGCAAGTTCGCGTCAACGGTCATCTGTCAAATGAGTATGGTATAACTTCCGGTGTACCTCAAGGATCTCACTTGGGCCCTATCCTTTTCAGTATATTCATAAACGACATTGGCACGAAACTCAAATCCGAGTTCTTATTATATGCGGATGATATGAAGCTATTCAGAGCAGTAGGCGGTAATCACGACATAGACATTATAGAGAGGGATATTTTAGAAATTGAAAATTGGTGCACAACAAATAAGCTGCATCTGAATATACAAATATGTGCTGTCATGTGTTTCTCTCGACGTCTTAATAAAGTTAGCGCTAATTATTCCTTGTGTGGTCAAACTGTGAAAATAGTCAACTCAATTAAGGATCTGGGTGTGTATGTGGATGATAGACTCTCCTTCTCAGAGCACATTAACCACATTTCTGCACGAGCATATCGTGCGCTTGGATTCATATGTAGAAGTGGGAAAGAGTTCAGGAACCATAGAACACTCCTCAGACTATTTTCTACCTTCGTGCAGCCGATACTTGAATATTGCTCCATTGTCTGGGCACCATTTACCGAGCTCCAAATAAACAACGTCGAAAAAGTGCAACGTAAGTTTTGTAAGTTCCTGCTGTATCACTCCCAAGACGGAAGCTGTGTAAATACGAGTGATATATACAACAGGTACAATATAAAGACCTTATACAGCAGAAGGCAAATAGCGGATCCATCCTTTTTTTATAAGGTCGTAAATGGGTTGATAGATTCCCCAGAAATACTGGAGCAGTTCAGGTTCATCGGCTCTAGAGCTGATCTTCGATCGAGACGACTGCTCGATGTTACGCAATCTAACCGGAACTATATCGCCTATGGACCGTACAACAGAATAGCAAGCTTAGTCAACCGACATGCACCAAGTGTTAATTTCTTTGGAGGTTCTCACGCTGGTCTCATTCGTGTTCTAAAATCAGTTCTTTGAGTTATACATATGTACTCATTCGACATTTATTTATAATTTTTGCAATTGATAATTATTGTTAACTATTTACGTTTTTAAATTGGTACAAAATTTTACTTTTTTATTATGTGTAAAGCCGATTGGCGTTTAAATAAATAAATAAATAAGCTTTATTGTTTCTCGGTTTCAGTGCTTTTTTTTGGCATTTGTTTTTGTGTGGCAGCACCGACATTTTAGTTCAATTTGCAACTTAAAATTCAATTTTCATAAAAACTATAAGCCTCCGGAGGGTGAGGTTTTCAGATTTACAATCACAAAAAGCCGCTCTAAACCCCCTCATTTTTGTTTTTTTTTAAAGCCGGGTTCCGTATTGGAAAATTTTCCCCACAAAATTATTGATTTACCTGGAGAGCTCTTACTGCGCACCATAATACTCTTTCCCCACCGCCTCCAGCGTTGCAGTATGGATGAAATATTCCTATGCTAACAGTGTCAGCAAAAGATCCCTTAAGTTTTCTCTTGCTGTTCTGTAGCCAACTGCGTAGGCTTAGCAGAGAAACGGCAAATAATACAAACCCCGACGAAAGTATCCCAAATCTTTAAATGTAGCAGTATTAGTATTCACTCATTAAAAAATTCAACCCTACCTACATTACGGTTATCATTATTGATCAGCAAAAAGGAGATGGTTGAAATATAATTAACACCAATATCTCATCAATGTTAAAAACAAATAGCTCACATAAAAATAATTAGAAATAGCAACGACTAATCATTTGATTAAATTAATCGATTATTGTTGTTCAATTTACCCCATGAACCAAAAATACAAGATCACGTAAGAACGCGACGTTGTATTTGTGACTGGTTTTGAGAAAAAAGTTTGCGAAAGCGGGTTCGTCAGAGAGAGAGTTAATTCAATATCACAGCACATTTTAAAGCATTTCGTTGCATCATTTTACCTATATTGTGCGTTTAAAGTGGCTGACAATAGTTTTGGCTAATTTTGGTTTTCGTTGCTTTCTTTGCTTTGTTTACTTTTCGCTCGTTTTCCAGTGAAACAAGATGGCGTAGAACCCGCTTAAAAAAATCGACTTTTTTCACTCTCTTGTTCTTACGTGATCTTGTGTCTTTCGTTCATGAATTTACCCCACGTCGCCGTTTTATACTGTTATACTAGGTTCACATATAAGTAGATTATCCTCATTTTCGAGCTTAACACCCTAATCTGTAATTATAACAAGGGATTAGCCATATAAAATTCGTCCCTTGTTAATCTGTAATTATAAAATAATCTCAGATTTAACCGATAACTTTTCGGTATCCATTCTAGATTTATCGATTGCTTTTGCGAAAGAGAGGAGAAATGCCAAATGCAAAAGCAAACAAAAATGTACGCTAGCAAATAAAAGAGGTTTGTAAAGGTATTTTTAATAAAATGTTAAGTTAAAATATATTTATGTTGCTTATTATAGCAGAAAAACGTGATCACGGTGGCACAGAGAAGAAACATAAATTTTCCTTGAGATGTGAGAATAACAAGCACAACAAATTTGACGGCTAATAATCTGAGATTTGCCTGTGTAAACGGGGTGATTAAAAAACGAGCTTTGATTGAGATAATATTGATATGTGAACATAGTTTTACGATGTTTCCACTCTTCGTAATTCGCGCACTAAGTAATTCGCTAGGTTTTTCGTGAATGACCTTGTTTCCACACCACATTCGTAATTATTTTGGCAGCTCTACTTATTGTTCTTGTTCTACGCAATGTATTATTATTTTTGTGTACTGCAAAAATCGAAGATGGAGAAAAAATTGGGTTGACTGTAGTGTACATCGATGAGTGTGTTTTGGCAAATCTAAAACGAATTTCTCATGAAACTTTACGAGGATGTAAGAAACAGATATGCTTACATAATTCTCACTATTTTCACTTAGTTAATATTTATTATTTATTTGTTTATTACAATCATTTGACCTATATACATTCACGTATATAATAATAGTAATAAAAGTAATATTAAAATTAATGCTTAAAATAAATTAACCTGTTAAACTTTTCCTTCGAAGCTATATAATAGTTTATGTATATTTAACTAAGATAGCATATTCTCGATGCTGATGGAATGGACGTGATTCAAAGCAGTAGCGTACATATATCACGTAGGACGTTTGGTCCAAGAGTGTAATTTCCAGAGCCGCCACAACTGGGCGGTTGGAAAGGATTTGTTTCCAAACCGCCTCTTATAGACTTCTCTACCGGCAGGCGATCTGAATGGACGAGATCCAGAGTCGCGCTATTTGATCGGACGGAGAGGACTAGTTTCCATGCCGACCTTCTTATTTCATACTTTATGGGTGATCTGAATGGACTAGATCCAGAGTCATCCAGCTAGTACGGATAGCAAGGACAAGTTTCCATGCCAGACCTTTCTATCTAATAGCCAATGCTCAACTGTGATCAAGTAGCAGCCTATTGAAGGTACCAACGTTTTCACAATTTTTTATTTGAGCTGGAAGTTCATTGTAACATTTTAATCCCTTATAAAAGATATTCTTCTTATCTATTTCCGTTTTAAACAGCAGCAGCCTGAAGCTATTATTTTCCCTGAGTAAATACTAATGGGTTTCACTATTATATCGTAGGATATCACTCAGATAATCTGGAAGTCTACCTTGTTTTATGTTAAACATGAATTTTTATTTATTTATTAATTTATCAATAAGTCTATGAAAGCATAATTATTTACAGACTATTTAACAATCAAGATTAAGCTAGGGCATCAAATTAAGAATATTGGTAAAAGTTGACTTCGGTAGAGAAAAATCAAGGTCGATAGTAATTAAGATCTAGTTAAGTTCACACATTGCCCGGCCAATGGGTGCATTACGGGCATAGTTCCTTCAGAAATTTTCAGCATAAAAAGGCAGGGAAGCACGCAGATAATGCAAAAAATAAAAGTTAGAGACAATATTGACCTTCTTTTATCCAACGATTTTAGATTGAGCAGCGATAAGCGCGCATTATATGATGGTACGGGATCAGAGAAGCGTAGTGATCGTAAGGCAAATTTGAGGAACATTTCTGAACGCGTTAAATCCTATTTATATGGAACTGGTGGAACGGACGCCAGATTATTGCTGCATACTTCAGGTGAGAGCGTACGAAAGAGGTATATAGCAATTTTAAAGTGTATGGATCAAAAAATTCAGTGCTATTCCGTCGCACAAAGCCAAGCATAGCATATGCTTTCGATATAATAAAATTAATATGGCTGCTAAATGAAAATTTGCTGTCAAAGAAAACACCAAGGTCCTTGATTTCCTTAACTGACTGCAAACTGCACCCAGATAAGCTATACCGAGTTATTAATAAATTTCGCGATTTTGAAAATGATACATAAAAGCATTTGTTAATATTTAATGAAAGATGAGATCTTAAGCACCACAAATAAAAGTTATCCAACTCGGTTCGGAGCTTTTTCATGTCAGAAGAATTCTTTACAATTGAATAAATCTTCAAGTCATCTGCTTTTAAAGAAAATTAGCAAAAGAAAAGCAAGAGCCGATGTCATTTATAAATACTATATAAAAAGCAAGGGACCTAGAATGCTGCCTTGTGGAACTCCAGAAGTAGCGAAAAAAGGTTCTGATTGCGCGTTATCCACAGTTACAACACACCGTCGTCGATACAAATATGACTTGAGCCTTTGCAGAAAGGTTGAATGGAAGCCAAAGAATGCGAGTTGGTCAATCAATACCATGTGCGAGACTTTGTCGAAGGCTTTAGAAAAGTCGGTGTAAATGCAATGCAGTATTCGGTAAAGACTGCCAGATTTATACCTGTGGAGCGGCCCGTTACAAACCTATGTTGATTTTGGCACATTAATCTCTTAACTGAGAAATAAATTTTATCTTTGACGACGCTTTCAAAGAACTTAGACACAGTTGTGAGTTTCAAAATACGTCTATAATTGCTCACATTATTCTTGTTGCCATTCTTAAATATAGGGGTTATTGAAGCCAGTTTCCAAGCATCAATGAATTTCCCAAAATACAAATATTTATTGAAGAGCATTTTCAACGGAAGTACCAGAACGGGACAACTTTTTAATAAAAGTGCCGAGAGACCATCAAAGACCGTTTGCGATGAGTTTTTGAGCTTCGATATTCCTATTATGATATCATCAGAAGTAAGTGCAATCAAACCAAAACTGAGTGCGGAATTCGGATTAAATGTTTGATTATAGAAAGAAAAATCGTCATCTGAAACAAAGTTGGATTTAAAAAAATCCGCAAAGAGGTTTGCAGCATCATGTGAAGAACATGCAGATTTTCCGTTGAAGACGACTGGTGATGGAATCGTGGACCACGCTTTTTTCGACTTGGCAAGGTTCCAGAAGGCCTTCGGATCAGATTTAATATTGATTTCGAACCTAAGAATATAGTTTCTATACAAGAATTTATCCAAACAGTTAAATTCCTTCAGATATTGGCGATATTTTTCATAGAAAACTTGGTTATTAGTTAATCTAAACTTCTTATAATATTTGTTTCTAATACTACGTTCAAATTGACGAGCTAAACATGTTAAATGGGCTTGAACCAGTTAAATGAACAAAACATGTTCATAAAAAAGTTAAATCGCATGCAATTGTTGTTGAAAAATTGGACCAGTTAAATCTGCCCACCAAAAAAGAGGCCAAGGCGGTAATTAGTTATTTCCCAAGAGGTCTCATCGAACGCAGAGATAAATAGTGCATACGAAATAAACAATTTGAAGTCTCTAAGTTATCCGTATGCGTTAATAGGTGCGTTCGTTTAAAATCTCCAGCAGAAACCAACCAACTGCCAAATTCCGGCGAAATGTCATCTGTTCGCTCACAAGAGAGAAATGTCCAAAATAGTACGCGAACAGAAAATTTGCAGAAACTTGCAAGTTAGACGAACAGCTGATATAATTTTTGTTTACATTTAAAAGTGTAAAATTTAAAACGTACGAAAAGTTATCACAAAGTGTTATACTGACACTGTTTATTGATTAAACAAATAACTACTTATTTCTTACAAGTTTAATTAGTCGCATTTTGTAATTTTTAACTTCCAAACCATCAAATTCAATTTTGTGATTTGCGTAAATGCCAACCAGCTGTTTTTGATCAGCTGTTTTCCTGTTGGCAAATTGCTGTTGGCAAAAATTTTTCCAGCAGAAACCAGCAGCTTCCCCTCAAAGTGAAATGTCACTTTGCTCTCTCAATTTCCCCTACATTGCAAGTTTTTTGCGTACGCGAACGCAAAAACTTGTAAGTATGGTTAAACATGAACAATTAACAGCTACGCGAACGAACCTAATATCATGAAGCAGACATTCGCACAAAACAAATTGAAACACAAAAACTTGATTTTGAATTTTTTTTCGAATTTTTATTGGTAATCAAACAACCGTCAAAGTTAACTCCAAATGTTCAATGTGGACGATTGTGTTTTCCAAAAAGCTCTTTTTCATTTAACAAGTTAAATGGGTCCAATTTGAACGTAATATAAGGTTTTTAACTTTTTTTAGCCCTCTAGTATACCAGGGGAGTTTATAGGGCTTACTTTTAATAGTAGGAATATTGAATAAGCTTGTATTATACACCACCGACCTGAAAGCATTATAGCACTCGGCGTCATCAGTGCTCGAAAGCTGCTCTTCCCAACCTAACTCAGCAAATAAACTGTCCAGGCTTGCAAAATCACACCGTTTAAAGTTGAAGATAATTTTATCAACTAAAGTTCCAGA